ATGCTGTAAGCCGGCCTGAGTCCCTCTGTAGAGGTTGAGAAGACTGGGGTATAAAAGTTTTAAATAAATAAATAAATAACAGGCTCAAAACTTTGGCAGTTTCTTCAAGACTGGAATAAAACCACCCACATCTGTCCGGTGATGGAGTCCACTGACTGCCATAGAATCATAGAATCAAAGAGTTGGAAGAGACCTCATGGGCCATCCAGTCCAACCCCCTGCCAAGAAGCAGGAACATTGCATTCAAATCAGCCCTGACAGATGGCCTCCAAAGAAGGAATCTCCACCACACTCCAGGGTAGAGAGTTCCACTGCTGAACGGCTCTCACAGTCAGGAAGTTCTTCCTCATGTACAGATAGAATCTTGTAGTTTGAAGCCATTGTTTCGCGTCCTAGTCTCCAGGAAGCAGAAAACAAGCTTGCTCCATCCTCCCTGTGGCTTCCTCTCACATATTTATACATGGCTATCATATCTCCTCTCAGCCTTCTCTTCTTCAGGCTAAACATGCCCAGCTCCTTAAGCCGCTCCTCATAGGGCTTGTTCTCCAGACCTTGATCATTTTAGTCGCCTCCTCTGGACACATTCCAGCTTGTCAATATCTCTCTTGAATTGTGGTGCCCAGAATTGGACACAATATTCCAGGTGTGGTTAACCAAAGCGGAATAGAGGGGTAGCATTACTTCCCTAGATCTAGACACTATGCTCCTATTGATGCAGGCCAAAATCCACTGGCTTTTTTTGCCGCCACATCACATTGTTGGCTCATGTTTAACTTGTTGTCCACTAGGACTCCAAGATCTTTTTCACACGTCTGTTCTCGAGCCACATGTCCCCCATTCTGTATCTTTGCATTTCGTTTTTTCTGCCTAAGTGGAGTATCTTGCATTTGTCCCTGTTGAACTTCATTTTGTTAGTTTTGGCCCATCTCTCTAATCTGTCAAGATCGTTTTGAATTGCTCCTGTGCTCTGGAGTATTGGCTATCCCTCCCAATTTGGTGTCGTCTGCAAACTTGATGATCATGCCTTCTAGCCCTTCATCTAAGTCATTAATACAGATGTTGAACAGGATAGAGTCCACTGACTGCCACTGTGTACCTATTTCAAAGGAATGCCTACTGAATATAGTAGGTCTGAATCCCAGGCAAAGGGGCATGGAATTGCAGCCTTTATTGCATTTTGATCTGATCCAATACAGCAAGGCATGTCCTTTCAGTCACATCCATCTTTTTGCTGTACACCAAAGGCCTCCTTTCCACCCACATTTTAATTTACCTTCCTGATTCTCATTCCAGCGACACCCAATTGCTGCGACATCAAGGCATTTTTGTGCAAGCTGTGTAACAGCCTGTTTCTGGGTACAGTTCCTGTGGACTGTCTCTCCTGTTTCCCCAGAAACCCAAAGGGGAGAACACCTTCGGCAGTCACTAATTGACAGCTTCCTCCTGCTCTGCCTCTCTAATGGGGACCAGCAGTTGCACCCTTGATCTCCTTCTTTGCAAACTACAGCGAATGCATCAATGGGTCAGGGAGAGCATCTGTATTATTCCTCTTCACTGTATGGCAGTATCATAAAGCTGACATTCTTTAGATGGGCAGATCAATAAGGCTGAATGCAATAGCAGAACATATTACATATTGATGGGTTGGTTTTGTTGCATCAACATTTGGCTACAGTTGGAGCTAAATAATCATTCCTGATCCTGACTTTGTTTAACCTGACTCCTCCTTGTTATTGTTGTTCCTTAACTATCATTTTGATTGTGAGTAACTAACTGGGCTTTTTCTTTTTTTTTTCTCTTGCCTGGCGAGGAGCCCAAAACAAAATGTAATTATGTCCCATGAGCTCACCAATATGGAGAAGCATGACTTTTAGATGTCATAAGGGGTGGGGGAGAAACAGGCAGATGGAATGAAGAAGAGGGGAAAATGCATTAACTAAAACAAAATGAGAAAGAGAGAGAGAGGGAGGGAGGGAGGGAGGGAGAATGGTATAGAATGAGAGGGGAAGTAAAATGAAACCAGACCAGATAATGCCTTTTCTTTTCTTCCCTCTTGCTATTTAATTCTGGGCGTTCATCCAAAAGATGAGTGCCTTTGACGGTATCTCCAATGTCAGCGGGGAAGGGAATCTGCTCTGGGTTTTAGTCTGAACTTTAAAGGCTTTTTTTGTTGTGTCAGGAGCGACTTGAGAAACTGCAAGTCACTTCTGGTGTGAGAGAATTGGCCGTCTGCAAGGACGTTGCCCAGGGGACACCCGGATGACTTTAAAGGGTGAATCTATGACACCTGGCTTGGGCCTCTTCTATATTGCCCTATATACCAGATTATCTTCTTATCTCAGATTATCTGGCAGTGGAGACTCGTATAATCCAGCTCACAGCAGATAACCTGGGCCTGGATGCTGGAATATTAAGCACCCTAGAAGGGATTTCATTTGGAGTTTTTGTATCTTCAATTGTCCTGCTGATATTCTCTTTGAAGAGGGCCACTCAAAAGGGTAAATAAATACCTACACTGCAAAATTAATGCAGTTGGACACACTGTAACTTCCATAGATAAAGGTTTCCCCCTGACATTAAGTCCAGTCGTATCCGACTCTGCGGTGTGGTGCTCATCTCCATTTCTAAGCCAAAGAGCCAGTGTTGTCCATAGACACCGCTAAGGTCATGTGGCCAGAATGACTGCATGGAGTACTGTTACCTTCCTGCTGGAGCAGTACCTATTAATCTACTCACATTTGCATGTTTTCGAACTGCTAGGTTTGCAAAAGCTGGGGCTAACAGTAGGAACTCACACTGCTCCCTGTGAATGAACCGGTCACCTTTCAATCAGCAAGTTAAGCAGGTCAGTGTTATGAGATTTGTAGTTTAGGCACTAGCTCTCTTTGGCTGAGAAGACGAAATACTTTGTAAAGCTACTACTCTGATGATTTCATAGCATTGAGCCGTGATGGTTAATTTGATGTCAAATTGCATTGATTCTACAGTGTAGATGCACCCAGTGTCTTGTTAGTTTGGGATATCAGTTTTCAAAATGAGAAAATGAAATTGGCAACCTAAACTTTTGTAGACTTAGGGCTCACCTATATCTACACTACAATAATAATAATAATAATAATAATAATAATAATAATAATAATAATAATAAACCTTTATTTATACCCCACTACCATCTCCCACAGGACTCGGTGCAGCTTATAAGAGGCCGAGCCCAAGCACATCATAAAACATAACAACAACAAAACAACAATAAATAACTCATAAAAGCAAAAACAATACAATAATAACAATACAATAATAACACGACGCATTTAAAAACCTGTGGCAGGGCCAAACGTAAGAATTAAAAATTTAAAAATGCTAGGCATGTCCAAGGGAAATAGAAGGGATATTTTTGGGATAGGTGGGCATGCAGACAATTCTAAGTCTCTCGTAAAGTGCATTTAGGACGTATTGCTTAGGATTCCTTATTCTGGGAAGGCACACTGGAACATTCACATTTTCAAGCTCCTTCTAAAGACTGCCAATGTTGGGGCCTGCCTGATGTCCTTGGGGAGGGAGTTCCAGAGTCGTGAGGCCACCACCAAGAAGGCCTTGTCCCTCGTTCCCACCAATCACGCTTGCAAAGCAGGTGGGATTGTGAGCAGGGCCTCTCCAGATGAACGAAGAGATCGCGTGGGTTCGTATACAGAAATGCGGTCACACAGGTAGATGGGTCCCAAACAGTTTAGGGCTTTGTAGGTAAGCACCTGCACCTTCAATTGGGCCCGGAAAATGAACGGCAGCCAATGGAGCTCCTTGAACAGGAGGGATGACCTCTCCCTGTAAGGAGCACCAGTTAACAGACTGGCCGCCGCCCGTTAAACCAACTGGAATTTCCGGGCCGTTTTCAAGGGCAGCCCCACGTAGAGTGCATTACAGTAGTCCAATCTGTAGGTGACTACGGGCATGGACCACCCCTTTCCCTTTGACATTAAGTCCTGTCGTATCCAACTGGGGGTTGTTGCTCATCTCCATTTCTAAGCCAAAGAGCCAGCGTTGTCCATAGATGCCTCCAAGGTCATGTGGCCATACGCATGACTGCATGGAGTGCCATTACCATCCCACCAAAGCAGTACCTATTGATCTACTCACATTTGCATGTTTTTGAATTGCTAGGTTGGCAGAAGCATGGGCTAACAGTGGAAGCTCACCCTGCTCCCACAGATTTGAACTGATGAACTTTCAGTCAGCAAGTTCAGCAGCTCAGCAGTTTAACCCACTGCACTACTGCGCGCTCCTCAGGGAGGTTTACTCCCATGTAAATGTGTGCTGGATATCATTTGGAAAATGTTCTGAGCTAGGTTCCCTTTTTTAATTCACTCTGGAAGAATATTCCTCAGGGGAAACTGGCCCAAAATTAACAAGAAAGAAAGATGTCTGTGGGTGTTTCCAACACCCACCCATTGAGAACAACAATAGAAATGGGTTACTGGTTCTGGTTTATCCAGATGTTTGCAAATGTGTTTGGGAAATACAACATTCAAGCCACTCCAGCAGTCACACTGAAACATATATTAGAAAACAGAGAGAAGAGGGGAAAGGGGGAATAGACCCCAAACATAATTGTTTCTAAGATAGATATATGCCAGTAACACCCAGGGAGAAAATGATTAAATGCAATCCCTGGATAGGTCTCTAACCATTTGGCATTTCAACCCAAAATGAGAGTTTGCTCTTGGGCAAAAAGCAGAGATCTGGGTCATTCGTCCCTGGGGTGTGCAACCTCTCCTCATAGCCAACTAGGGTAGAAGGAGTTCTGTTTTCCTAACAGCTTAGGTGTTAGAAAACCTTGGAAGATTTGGCACTAGAAATTAGCATGTATCCGGTGGAGAATGGGAGCTAATCTCCTGCAGCAGAGATGCTCAAATAATTGATGAATGTGTGCCGGATTCCCAAAGAGAGAAGGGGGGGGAGAGAGAGAAAATGAGAGAGAGAGAGGAGGCGGAGGGAAGGTGCTGATTCCAGTCCTGTAACGTCAGGATTGCGTCAATTTGGGTTTCAACCACGTCCTTCGGTCTCAGAGCTCAGTTCGTCAGAAGATCCCACGAACCACAGGAGAAGGGCTTTGCGAATCACTGTGAAGGAAGGAAGGAAGGGAAGGAGGGAGGAGGTAGAGGGCGAAGGCAGSTGRACCCTCCCAGCCTCCCAGTTTCTCCCTGTCACTGTCGCCTCCTCCTTTTCCCAAAGCCTTCCCCATCTTTCAGGCTGCTGTTTGCATCACATTGGGAAGCAAGGCTCCCCTGGCTGCCTGTGTGAGCCTGTGAGCATCTTCCTCTCTGTGTTTTCCTTTCCTCTGCCAACTAAGAGGGGAAGGAGCCAGGCACAGGCAGAGCATCCTTCAGCACCTTGGACAGAGCAGCAAGCAAACAACATGGCTCCGATCACAGCCAGCCGGGAAGAATTTGGTAAGCAATGCATCTTCTTGCAATCTTTTCCAAAATGACTTAGTTCCTTACGGTTAGATGCTGTGGGAAGTGAAAGCGCTCCCACTTTGTAATTGCTTTTCTTGGAGATCCAGAGCATGCAAAGATCTGCCATCCAAGCCCCTTGTGTCTCTCCCTCAAAGCCTCTTTTATGCCTTGGGATGAACAAAAGTTTCCCTGTTTTGTTTTACGAGCTCCATTCCCACCTTGCTCCCTCTGTATCTTCTCTCAACTCCCCAGCTTTTTGGGAGACATGGTGATAGGGGAAGGTGTCAATTTCTCTGGGTTTCCTTTTGCAAGGAAGCGAGCTGCCTGAGGAAGAATGAGTCAGATCATTTTGATCGCAAAGACTTGGAGAATAATTGCCTAAACCACTTCCTGAAAGAAAGGGACAGGGAGCTTTTTGCTCAAAAGGATTAGTCATCCAACCACCCACTCATCCATCCATCCACCCATCCACAGACTTTCTTTCACTCTTTGAATCTATTCCCTCCTTTTGATAGCAAAATGCATTCCCAGTGCTTTTAACTATGATATATTCCCTACAGGAACTTAAATAGGGCTGCCTGGCTTCCCAGACCCAAGATAATATGTACTGATAATGCCAATAAAAAAACTTTCTTGCATGCCGGTCTTTTTTCTGGACTGTTTCAGCTTCAGAAAAGCACAGCCTTTCAGAACAGGAGAAATATATAATTATGTAAAGAGGCATAGAATCATAGAATCATAGAATCCTAGAGTTGCCATCCAGTCCAACCCCCTGCCAAGAAGTAGGAAAATCACATTCAAAGCACCCCTGACAGATGGCCATCCAGCTTCTGCTTAAAAGCCTCCAAAGAAGGAGCCTCAACCAGACTCTGGGGTAAAGAGTTCCAGTGCTCAACAGCTCTCACAGTCAGGAAGCTCTTCCTAATGTCCAGGTGGAATCTCCTTTCCTGTTGTTTGAAGCCATTGTTCTGCATTCTAGTCTTCAGGGAAGCAGAAAACAAGCTTGCTCCCTCCTCCCTAAGACTTCCCCTCACCTATTTATATATGGCTATCATGTCTCCTCTCAGCCTTTTCTTCTTTAGGCTAAACATGCCCAGCTCGTTAAGCCACTCCTCATAGGGCTTGTTTTCATAGGGCTTGATCATTTTAGTCATCCTCCTCTGGACACATTCCAGCTTGTCAACATCTCCCTTAAAATAGAGATTTGTTCTTTTCCAGTTACCTAAAGGGTGGGTCACCATGGCTGTCCCATCACTACAAGTACAATAGTTAGGGGTCCTGAGATCAAACCATAAATTTGCAGGCAATACACTTGGATTTAAACTGCTTTTGGTCCAATTAAAGATAATAAGAAGCAATGGACTTTATTTCATGTTTGCCAGCTTCACTATCCTCTGAATGAAGTTGACAGAGTTTCAAGTAAGGCTAGCATATCTGGCTAAGTAATACCAGATCTGTCCAAAACAAGATCAGCTTTAAATACAGTGAGATGAAATGGTGCTTCTTCAAACCAGCCTTCTTGTGATCTGTCCTACTGTTTGGTTCCCCCCCCCCCAGAATTAGCTCACTTTCAGGATAGTAGTCAATGTCATAATACCTAGGCACAGTAGACAACCACTTTGTATGCAAAAATAACACCAAAGGTAGACAACATTCCCAGCGGCAGCTATTTTACAGCCAACGTAGATAGGATTTCTTCTGATACCGGCCTCTTGGGTATTTCTAATTTCATTTGTGACAGCCTGCTCACCTGATCACTGACTGTACAAGAATAATTAATGTCCATGGGCTTGATTCTGCCTCCCAAAAGCTGGGATTGTAAGTTGCACCATCATTCCTGCCACTGGACACAATCTATCTGCCTACGAGCTTCCAACGAGTATTTGCAAATGTGTCAATTGGCCATTAAAATCTGTTCAGCCGAGTTAATGACCCAACCTGGCTGCCTTCCCAAAGCATCTTATGCAACTGCCATTACCTCACTGCCAAGGGGGGTTTGTTTCAGCTCCTAGCCAGAAGTCTTGCTTAAAAAGAAAAGGGAAAACCTTACAGCAACATAGATTACAGAAAGCTTAGGGATGAAACTAAGCTTAGGGATGGAACTAGGGTCCTACTCCAAAGTAAGATTTTCTACTATTGGATACATTGCATATATAATTTCTGCATATAATAATTGTGTTACAAATTGAAAATAAACAGAGCCAAAAAGAAGTGATCCAAGCTAATGTCAGATTCCTATGAAAGTGTTAATGTTGCTCAGTAAGGCTAATCTTCCACTTAACCCTTTGGCTGCTTGCTTTTGTGGGCAACCCTTCATCTCTCTATGGATTCGCCTAATGCTCATTACAGACTTTGCTTTAATCGATGTGCAACTCATGTGTGTTTTCCCCCTTGGCAATTTGATCTGGTGATTAGAGAGCCATGGGTGAGGATCCAAAAGACCCCTTCTCCATCTTAGTCAGAAAGAACAGATCCACTTATCCTTTGAATTGTTCCCTCTCTTTCTTTTCCTCAGCCAGAAAGAAGACAGCGATCATTTGTTAGAACACCAGTGTTCTTGCATAAAAGATGTGATTACCTTTCTGCCTAAGCAGTGCTGTTGCATTAATATTAATATTTCATGAGACCCCCATTTTGCTCAGAGAATGTAGACTTAGTTTTGATTTCTGCTCCCAGCATGGGAGGCTTAGGCTTACTTAGAAATGTTACTTATGGGCAGGATTGGATCTCCAATTAGTGGCGTTCATTTGGCCCTGTACTGCTTACTCATGAAATGCTAATGATCTCCTCAGTGCCACTCTTTTATCCATACGCCAGATGTCATTGCAGCTTGCATGCTGTTTTGCCTATTGCTCTGGAATGTGAGCTGATTCATATGTGTGATGGAAAGGAGTTCATGGGGGAATTGTTTTAGTTATTGTGCTTGGGCAATGTATTTCACTGAAATGTTGTGTTCAAGGCATCGAGATCTCAAGATACTTTGGAAGCTCCTCTTTGGTTTGCCTTGCAATTGTCATCAAATAAACACAATGGATTTTCCTTTTTGACATGTGCATACAAGATGTGCAAATTTAGTATGAGGGAAATAACTGCGCACATTTCAGAGAAGTGATAAGACACTGGTGGAAAGTCTACACCATGTCATATAATCTCCAATTAAAGTTAGCCTTTTTGTGTCAAAACTCAAGCCCCCCTTGACATAACTCACTGAACATAAAGAGAAATCCAAAGATTAATATAAAAGTGGATGTCATGAATGTGACTAACACATTTCAAATTCTCTTTTATCTACTGAATAAAGAGCCTAATGTGAAAGATGTAAGAAGCAGCTAGAAGTCTTTATACGCCTACAGAATTCATAAATGTTATCTAGGGCAGCAGCAAAGTTGAATAGGAATATGCCATTTATTACAGATGTGATTGCTGAATTTTGTTTGTTTCAACCACTCTTGCAACAGCGGACACTTCTAATTAGAGTTTTCCATGCGTGTTCATACCTGCAAGGGGCACAAAATCTATATGCTTACTTTTGGATACGACATATCCAGGAATTGTTTCCTTCTGTTTCCCTATTTGGCCAGCTGTTGCTAAGTTAAATTATCATTTTTGATCTCCAAATTCTACCATTCATACATTTGTTGCCATTTGCTTTTGACTTGCAGATGAAATTCCAACTGTGGTTGGGATCTTCAGTGCCTTTGGGCTGGTCTTCACTGTCTCCCTCTTTGCTTGGATCTGCTGCCAACGCAAATCTTCCAAATCAAACAAAACCCCTCCTTACAAATTTGTCCATGTGCTGAAGGGTGTTGATATTTATCCTGAAAACCTCAACAGCAAGAAGAAATTTGGTGCAGAGGACAAAGGAGAAGCCAAAAACAAGCCTATCATTCCAAAGAGTTCTCTACATCTTGACCTCGAAAAGCGAGATCTGAATGGCAACTTCCCCAAAACAGCTCCGAAGATAACAAGTTCCTCAGAAGTTGAGAACTCGATTCCAAAGGTCTTCCCTGAGAGGGAGAAAGATTCGGTGTCCCCTGATAGCTTGAAATCTATCTCATCTTTATCTTCTGAAGAGAAGCAAGATAAATTAGGGACTCTCTTCTTCTCTCTTGAGTACAACTTTGAAAAGAAGGCATTCATGGTGAACATCAAAGAAGCACGTGGCTTGCCAGCCATGGATGAGCAGTCAATGACTTCTGATCCGTACATCAAAATGACAGTGCTGCCTGAGAAGAAGCACAAGGTGAAAACTCGAGTGCTGAGGAAAACCTTAGACCCAGCCTTTGATGAAACCTTCACCTTTTATGGGATCCCATATGCTCAGGTTCAAGATCTGAGTCTTCACTTTATGATCCTGAGCTTTGACCGGTTTTCTCGAGATGATGTCATTGGAGAAGTCCTCTTTCCTTTGTCAGGGATTGAGTTGTCTGAAGGAAGAATGCTGATGAACAAGGAAATCATCAAAAAGAATGTTAGGGTAATTGATCTTACTTTTTAATTATTAATTTGTTTTGCCTGCCATGTCTCAGTACATAARATATTTTCATGCTCTGGGATGTAAGATTATCACCAAAACACACACACACACACACACCTTTATTTATATTATATATATATATATATATATATATATATATATATATATATATCTTAGATGCATAAACATATAAAAGGTATGAAGTTAGGTAGCTTGATTGATCATCCAATAGATATCAGAGAAGCTCAACAATATAAAAAGGGTCTTTACCGTAACGTTTCTTTGTATTAACCTAAGCAGAAAGGATTTTACATTGTTTTTGAAAGATGACCCAGCTTGGGTTGGGTAAGCCCACAAAGAGGTGGGTTTGTCAATTTTGAAAGAACCATTGACACTGGATAAAACTGTGTTTATTCTATCTGTTCTTAACTTATGGATGTGTACTGTAGACAACATCCAGAGTTATGCTTCCATCATAATCTAACATGTAGTATAATATAATCTAAGTGTATAAACACAAGATAAGAAATATCCATGGGGAGCTCTTGGGTCAAGACATTATGCTATGATCAACAGGGCTGCTGTAGCTTGCAATACACACACACACACACAAATCTAAGTGCTTTGTCCAGTAAGCCACACTAAGAGATGAAATCAGACTGGGGATCATTCAGTTCTCCAGGGTTTCTCAGACGTAACTGGCAGTAAATACCAGTTATGCCTAAATGGAAAACATGTGCTCTATGTTTAAGCTGTGGCCCATCCTTGAAGCTACAGTGTGACTCTTGATTATTTGGGCTTTCATACAAGACTTCTGCAGAGGAAATGCCACAAAGTACAATGGTTTCATACATGAATTTAATATTTTATACCAGAATACTTGAGTATAATGGCACCCTGAAGCCAACCATGTCTACTATTGGTGCATGTAATGCCCCAAAACCATACTCAGTTTGGTTCCATTTTTTGCTCCCACCCCCAATTCCATTTTCCAAAATTGGGAGGGGTGCCATTTTTGTTCTGGTAAGATTCAGTCCATTGGTGCCAATGAGGAAACTCATTTTCCCATCAACTTTAGGCCTGTCTGGAAGAAACTTGCCTCACTTGTAGACCAAATTTAGGACTGCAAGTCTGCCAAGTTTTGAAACGTTTCATCAATCCACTGGTTTTTGGAAAATGTGTAAATTTTTGACCATAACATTTAAAAAAACACAAGAGGGGGTTCTGGGAATTGAAGTCCCAACCAACGTGCACCACAAGAAAGGAGGAGAATGGACACAGTCAACCAGGCCTCTGATTGGCTGTGAAAGAAACACAAGAAACAGATAGGAAAACCTCAACTTCCATCACCCCCCAGGAGGGAGCACAGAGGCTCCTTCAATGCCCGTGCTGTGCAAAGTGCTGCAGGGAAAGCAAGTTTCCAGTGGGGCCCTCTCCAGAGGAGTGGTCTAGGGAAACCTTTCCCACCTTTTTCTCTATTTCTCTTTCTCTCTTTCTGGCCTTATTTGCCTCAAGCAGGCACTCTACGGGGGTGCACTTTGGGAAGGGATGGAGAAGGCTGTGGGATAGAAAGAAGAAAGCCACTACCATCAAGCGCCTGCTCTTGCCTGATTTGTGAGGCCACCCACAAGCCATGGCCTCTGCCTCAGGTAGAGTGCCACTCAACTCCATTTCCTCCACCAGCTAAAAGATCTGGCTGCTCATGATCTGTTCCAGCTAATGCTTTGGCTGGGTCCTGCATAGTCCATTTTTGGTGGCCCAGCTGCTGGGTCACCAAAATTTCCCAAATCCTGAATCTCCAGAATTGTGCACACTCATAATTCCCATCACTGATCAGGCTGAATTGTTTCATAGCAATAATAATGTTGTGTTGTCAGGGAGCAGACTTCATTGCTGGAAATCCACTGATTGAATCTAGTAGAAGTGGAAAGCTGTGATCTACCCTTCCTAGGCTGGCCATTGGTTAATTCAAAAACTACTCTGGAGACCTGGAACACCTAGTCCAAACCTGTTCCAGATTGATAAATCCTTTGGAGACAAGTTTTTTTTTGCAAGGGGGGGATTTGAGGGCCACAATAGGAAGGAGCATTAGATACCACTAGGAATAATCCATTGCTAGTGGCATTGTAGTGGAAATAGGTCTAAGTATTGAAGTAAACTTGGCAGTAGTTGCCTTTTTGCAAATTAATGGAAGAAAACTTTTATAACATGTAACATGGTATAATCTAAGGGTATAAATAAAAGACAGTAGTGATCCATGGGTAGTCATTGGATTAGGACATCATGCTGTGATCAGCAAGGCTGCTGGAGCCTGGTAATACTGACCCATTTATAAGAACAAGACTGCTATCAGTTTGTTGTGTTTACTTGAAAGGAGCAGGTGACAATGTGATTCTATGCTATGCTTCCAGCCCAAGCATATCACAGAATAGGACTAGAGGACCTAGAAAGGTCTACAAATACTTCTGTTTGCTATTCAGTTGTACAATCCTGACCATGTATAGTCTAAATATAGGATTCACTATTACCCACAGTTTTAGGTATCCTCTATGAGCCTTGGACTATCCCCTGCAGAGATGGGAGTCATACTGTACTTGCCCCTATGTACACTAATATTGCCATTATAAGAATAGTGAAAATGAAGATGAACATTCACAAGCCAATAAATGTGCCATTACATTGCCGACAGTAGTCTGTAGGTATAAATTGTGGCATCATTATCCCAAAATGCCTTAAAAACAACAATAACAAGCAATTTCAGGAGTGTGATTTGAAGCAGAGTGGGAAAGAGTGGAGCAGCATCTTAATCCAGAGTTCTGCTCCATATCACCTCTCGCATCAGATATTTCCAGTGCTTGAACAAGCCCTTCATCTTTATTAGGTCAATAGTTTATATAACCGTAACCCCAAGACTTAAAATATTACACAGATGTTTATGCTAGTATGCAGGGCTGATGATAGTTCTGGATTCAGGCATTCCATGCCATTTTCTCTTTTTCCTTTTCTCCTTTGTTGTTATTTCAGTTGTAGTTATTGGTGACTGATCATGGAATAATGAGATGAGGCACAAAAAGTTGGGTTAAACAAGTGTCACTTTATTTGCCCTATATTCCATTTAAGTTGTTTGAACCTCAAAGAAGCAAGCAAAGAGAAAAACCTGATATGAGTCCAGCTAAGGACAGGTTTCTACCCCAAAATTACTTCCTCAGACCTCCCTTAGGCAAAATACTTGAGCCCAGAGAGAAATCCAAAACTTGGTTTGTTCCTTAACCAATCATGTACTGGAATGTAACCCCAGGCCGCTTCCACCAAAGTCCTAGGACCTTATGAAATACCTGATCAGCCTCAGAAGGAGACTCCTTTTCCCTCCTCTAACCTGTGGACCTGCAGAGGCCACTCCAGAGCCCTACCATTCAGCAAAAGGGTGCCAAGGCAGTACACCCAAGTCTTAAATTCTCCCCTCCTCACTTGCCAAATAACAGCTTATTTGAAGATACCACCTTGAGATAACCACCATAACCATTCTGCTACAATATGGGATAGGGATAAAAACTCCAGGTAAACGGAAGAAAATTCCTACCAGCCTTTAAATGAAACTCACACTTCACTGAGGACAAGCTTCTCTGTTGTGATCCAAAGAGGCACATGATGCACATGATGGGGAGGGGACCAGGCCTTACTCACAGGCGATTCTGCATCATGTGCTATATTCTGGTTCCATACAAAAAAACCCCTCCTGGTCTCTGACTATGGAGGCCAATTGAAAGCATACCTTCCTTGTAGAATCTTTCACCACATGGTACAGGTATGTAATATGGTAGCAGGATGAGAAATGGTCCCTTTCTCCTGAAGTTCCACAGTACCCATGGTCACTTCTGGAATTTTCCAAATGTTTTTCCTGCATTTGTCATACTTGTATCTTGTTCTCCTTAACTGAAACGTATAGAGTGGGTGGCCATACTGGAAGCATGGTCATTTTTCTTCTTTGTCCAACTGGTGGGCTACTCCAATGCACACCCAAAATAACACAATGTCCTTCCAGTTTCCATTTTGTTCATTTTTTCATTTGTGTGTGGGGAGGGGGCTGATTATTTGGAAACTTTAGGGGGCAAACTACTGCAGTTTTGGCAGATTTTGACTAATTTGTGGGCAAAGAAAAATCCTACCAGAAAAGAGCTTTTAGAAATGGAAGGCCTGGGGAGCTCTCAGGGTCCCACGTGGGCCATGGGCTGAACCACTCATCCCTGTTGTACACAATGTTGATAACACAACCCAATTTACAAAAACAATTATTAGTGTCTTGGTTTTTAGGCCTATTCTTGAGGTTATTTGGGGTGCTGATTCCCTAAACAGCATTGGATAGACCACATCAGCTGAATAAAATCCCACATTTTCTGCTTTGAACTGGGATCTATGACAGTGTGGGCCCAGATGTCCCAGTTCAAAGCAGATATTGTGGGATTTTCTGCCTTGATATTCTGGGATATAGGGCTGTATGGAAGGGTCCTTAGATATGGTAATCATGATTTTTTTACGGGCAAGCATATGGCAAGTAGTATATGACATATGTTCTCAAAAACTATAGCTGATGGAGGAAACTGGTGCCATTTTTGGAATCAGCAGCTCAAATATATGCAGAAACAGGTCAAACATTTGAGGCACCAAATGTGTGTTGGCCAGTGTAATGGCATTTGGACTTGTGACTCCTAGACAGAAAAAAAATGGAATTTGAATCTGATACATAAAACTATACTATCTTTTAAAACTTGTATTAATCATTACTTAAACACTATAGCATATGAGTTAATTCCGTCCATTAAAAATATATTGTGTTTGCATTTATATTGGTCAAAATTAAAAAGTTATTAATGATGATGGTTTTCACATCAGATTGAGTCTAGCTGTGTGATTAAACTCTAAAACACATTAAAACATCCAAATTTGAGGGTTAAAAGACTAATAGAGTGTATCCAAGTAAAGTCTGCTTTTTCAAAACAGGTTCTTTAAAAATTGTCCATTTGACTGAATATTTTGAAATCTGTAATTAAACTCACTGAAGTCTACTTTTAGTCACAATATCATCTTAAACTGGGTCATTAACTTTTACCCAACAATCTCATCAAGCTAATATGAACGATTAGGGCAAAAGCCAACAGTAACCTTGGCTTTGTCAGTAGAGATCAACAGGCTCAATTCCAAGTGCTTCATAATTAACTAGGTGGTGGACTGCAAAGGTACAGTCTCCACCCAATAAAGTCTGTGGCAAAACTCCATTGACTCTAATGGCTTTGAGTGTCACCATTTATCATCATGACTCTCATCCATAAGCCATTAATTTATAGTGCTTGCATGACTAGACCTCCCATCCTCAAACCACTTAGCAAAAGTTCCCTGCAGTTGAAGTTAAATATCACTTTGACTATCAAACCAGCTGATAAGATTGAGGCATATATTTTATTAATACTAATATTAGTAGTTCTGGCACACATTCTGAATACTTTAATTAGCTATAAACTCCTATGAAATCAACAGGTCTCATTTCCAGTCTTTTGAGATCTAGTGGCATCAGGTGGTGCCCTTGGCAATTTGACAGTGAAGCTGAACTATAAAGGGACTATCAAAATATCTATCTTCTAAGTAGATTCAAAATTTCCTTGAAGGCAGAGACTGACCACCCTTTGTGGCCATTGTCCCCACGTAGAAAGCCAACACATGTAATATGCAAAGATAACATGCTTCCATAACCACTCTAGGCACACATTCCTCCTTTTCCCCCTGCAGTTCTCTGATAGGAAGTGGCAAGGCAAGACTTCCTGTTGTCATTTGGAATGAGTACTCCTAATAGGAATTGAAGTATTTGTTAGGCATGATGAATAGAGGGATGATCTCTTGGAAGGATTTGTGAAAATTGATCCATGGGCATGACACATTTACCTGTTTTATGATGATGTTGTCTAAAACCCAGAGTAAATTTGTCACCCCAGTGATTTGGGATCCACTAATTGATACCGTTGCTAAATTTCAAACCTATTAAGCATTTCAAGACCCCAATAACCAATAGTTCTTCTTAAAGACCTGCTCATGTATTGACTTTTGGGAAATCGTTTTCAAAAGATCAAGCATCAAAGCTTTTGCTTCGCAGTGCACCAGGCTATATTCTCTTCTGAAGTGTTTTATATGTATTTTATGCAATAACTCCCTATATGTGACTTGGTGCATTGCAATTTACTTGGATTCTGTTTCCTATGGTACATTATTTTTTTCCCTAGCAGGATGACTATATTAGCTTTACCAAGTCTTATTTAGAACCATAGAGCTGGAAGAGACAACAAGGGCCATAGAGCCCAACCTCAGACTGGAATGCACAGCACAAATATTTAAGAATAAAGATGTTGAAGATGGACTTAAAGATGTGGTGGAAAATAGCAAAGTGTTAGTTTAAATTTTCACAATGGTTGTGATTTTTAGAAATCCCCTCCCACCTTCTCTTTCACTAAGCAAAAGGTGGGCATTGAAACTCATCTTTGAAAATGAATTTCAGGTCCTTGAGAGAGCAGGAGCACTTACATTTGTTCTAGTCTTTATTGTGGCCATCCATTAGTGTAATATCATTTTGCTTTCAGATATATGTTCCATTAGATTTACTCATTTAAAATTTTTGTTTTGCGGTATCAAATTCTCAGGAGAATTGGTAGGTGTAGTATCACCATAGAATAGCATGGAGAAAATGTCCACTTTGGATTCTTGCCACCTCTGACCTCAAGTAGTAGTTAGATCATATCTGCCTCTGGGCCTTAGCTTAACACTTGCCAGTATGAGTAGAGACCATGCAAAACAAGATGGACCAATTATTAGATGTAAGGCAGTTTCATATAGTCATCTGAACTTCCAAAATGGTGGGAGTTGAATAAAATCGAGTCATCGTGGAAAGCTGTAATTGGTCACTCTATTTTTCAGTTCCCTTTATATTATCCCCATTTGCCATCCAACCCAATGAAATTAAAGACACCACACACAGGATTGGGTTCAAATTAGGGCAACTTTTATTAACTGTTAAAAAGGTAAAGGTAGTCCCCTGACATTAAGTCCAGTCATGTCTGACTCTGGGGTGTGGTGCTCATCTCCATTTCTAAGCCGAAGAGCCAGCGTTGTCCGTAGACACCTCCAAGGTCATGTGGCCGGCATGACTGCATGGAGCGCCGTTACCTTCCCGCCGGAGTGGTACCTATTGATCTACTCACATTTGCATGTTTTCGAACTGCTAGGTTGGCAGAAGCTAGGGCTGACAGCGGAAGCTCACGCCGCTCCCCGGACTCGAACCTGCGACCTTTCAATCAACAAGCTCAGCAGCTCAGTGCTTTAACCCACTTTAACCCACTGCACCACCGGGGGCCCTTATTAACTGTTAGCAAGTTAAATTTTTGTAACTATTAACTAGACCCTACCTCTATAACATGTAGTGAATACGGTGAGAGCTAAATACCACGTAGTGATCCTTCCTGACCTACCCCTGGCAGAAATTTTGAGCAAACACCAGGTCTCCATCTCAGCTAAATCCGGATGACCTAAAGGGAAATGGAGTGTAGACTTTTGCTCCAAGAAATATTGAAGTCAAGCATCTCTTGTTCCTAGGCCATTAATGTTCTCCCTCATCTGGGTTGTTTGAACCCTAGGCGAGGGATTTCGCTTCTGGCCTACACGCAAAATGAGGTGCCTTGGGTGTACATCGTATATGTTAGTTCCTTTCAGTTTATGCTATTGCCTATTTAAAGACCTCACCTCCCAATCTCCCATATTGAACAGTATAGGGTAGGCAACCACCCCCACCCCCAGAACATGGGAAGGAAAAAAATCCTGCTCAGCCCCGTTAAGTGCTATATTGTTGTTGGCTAGCGGGTGGATCAATGTCTTCGAAGTGAATGAAGAACCGGGCCTCCGCACATGCGGAACCCTGCCCATAGCCACGCCTCCCCATCCAGAGGGAGGTGGCAAAGCCACTTCCCTCCCCCAGCTTCGTGGGGGAGGGGGAGTTGATTCCACAACCACACATTTATATAATTGTAAATTAGAGGGCATCACTTGAATCATTTACCCCAAAATAAATTTGTAAACTTTTTAGGCATAGTGACAGCCTTTAATAGAAATCCAACTGCTAATCCCATTTTGAGTATTCCTATGCTAAGTCAACATGTAAATCACATTGATTGAATGGGTCTATATTTGCTGAGACTAGTAATTCAACATAGCCCTTTGCCTTTGCAGCAACAGATAAATAAATTTGCTTTCCTGATTAAAAATTTTCTAACATCAAATATTGTAATATCTTCTGGGGGTAATATCTACTAATCTGGATCAAGTAAGCCATGCCCCAAACCCATTAAAATAAAGACAACCTGTAATTTTGATCCTCTGGCTGAATATCAACTCTCAGAAGCCCCAGCTAGCTTGGTCAATACACAAGAATTTTGGGAGCTGAAGACCGTAATACCTGAAAGAGTTTGGAAAAAAACTGAGGGCCCTTCTACACAGCCCTATATCCCAGAATATCAACACAGAAAATCCCACATTATCTGAGTGTGGACTCATATAACTCAGTTCTAAGCAGATATTGTGAGATTTTCTGCCTTGATGTTCTGGGATATTGGGTTATGTGGAAAGGTCCTGTGTTAGATGCAATGAGTAACCAAACTCCTTTTGGTTCCAGTGATACATATGTGCACATAATTCCCACTAAATCAGGCTCTTTGGGATTGATAGTGCAGGAAAGACATACTCAAGAGATTTAAATAGTCTCAATCTGTTTGTAAAATGCTGCATGTTTAAGGGAATTATGGGATTTGCTTTACAAAATTAAGTGGCTTATTTCTAAGGTTTTGAAATAGTTCTCAATGTCATTACTTATGGAACATTCTGCATGATTTTTCCCCTAATTCTCTAGAAGTCTTCTGGCCGTGGAGAGTTGCTGATCTCCCTTTGTTACCAGTCCACGACGAATACTCTCACAGTAGTTGTTTTGAAAGCGAGGCACCTACCCAAAGCTGATGTTTCAGGATTATCAGGTAATTTACAATAGCACATTCTTACAGTGACCTACATACAAGAGATTTAAGAGCTTGAGCCAATATCTATATACACTTGACTTAAAGGTTTAGGTTTTAAGCCGTTTACAGCCTATGGATTTATGCATCTCGATATATATAAAAAACAAGAACCTAGTATTCTGTCCATGCTTGGACAACAGAGCAGGGCCTTTTTCTTGATAAACTTCATGCTCTCCGAGTCCCAGTTTAAATAAATGACCCCAGAACCATGCACTGGAAAATACATGGACATCTTTCACGGACCTGGAAACCTTAGATGATGCCCAAAATTTAAATATTTCATTAACTTATCCAATTTTACTAAATCTTCAGCACTTATTCATACCATACTTTTCACTAGGTTGGTTTTCCTTCTAACATCAGGACTAACTCCTTTATGATTATCCAGATATATATTTTTCAAAGATTATTGGTTTACTTGGGAAATATTTTGACAGTATACCCGTTGGTCCCATCCTTACCTGACTTCATTCTAAGCCATGGTGAGGATTTTATAATATGGAAAGAACAGTCACAATTATTTCCATATAACATGCCCCAGCAGGGAGTAACAACAACAATAATAATAATTTGTTACCCATATCTCTGGTACTTTATTGGTACTGTAGAAGTAATGAAGATATAATAAAGTGACACTACTTTGACTGCCATGGCTCAATGCTCTGGAATCAAGAGATTTCTGGTTTCACAAGGTCTTTAGCTTTTTCTACCAAAGAGTGTTAGTACCTGACAAAGCTACAAATCACAAAAGTCCATAGCACTGAGTTATGGCAGTTGAATTGCATCAAACTGCATTAATTCTACAATGTAAATGCCCTCTTAGTTTGCTTTCTCAGAAACTCCAGTCTGATGTGGGGAACCTAACACCAGAAGTATCAGCATAACCTCCTTACAGGACTATAATTACCGAAGAGACAGAAAAGGTCATTAGAAAAAGCCAATTTGATAAGACAGGATGCAGTAGGGACAAAAGGTGGAGCATATTACAGGTTGACTGACTCAATAAAGGAAACCAAAACCCTGAATCTAAAAGACCTGAAGATTCTGATTGACTTGAATATGTCTCATCAACTTGATGGCAATTAAAAACACCATAATTCAAGGAAGTATGACTTAAGCAATAATATTCATCTTACAGAGTATATGTGCTATAAGAGTATGAGTACTATTGCTCAGTGGTGTCCCTAGGGAAGTGTGGAGAGCATGGGACACACCAGGTGAACTCAACCATACGGGGTTTAGAGAGTCATGGGCAAGGACAGAAGTCTGCCTTTGCTCCTTTGGCTGTCTAAAAGCGAGCAGAGGAAAGCTCTGTTCTTGTCCTCTTAGCTGGATTTCTCTAAGATGATTCAACTTGCTCTTACTAACCCCCTGCCCACCTGTAAATGCTCAGATGGGCTCCCTTTGGTCCCTTCTCCTCTTTCCCACACATTTACACAGTTTCCGTGCTTAACCTCCCCTCCTTTAACATGCTCTCCCTTTTGTTAAACAACATATATAGAAAACTTTCTCCACTTGTGGTTTTTGGCCATTGTGTGCCAAAGCACATGCAACGTGTCTTGATTTGTGAAAATAGATAGGGGCTTAAATTGCAGATCTGAATGCTGAGAAACTATTTATTGAATTTTTCATGTCTTTGCAGACCCCTATGTCAAAGTGAACCTCTATCATGCCAAGAAAAGGATCTCAAAAAAGAAAACCCATGTCAAGAAGTGTACCCCCAATGCGGTGTTCAATGAACTCTTTGTCTTCGATATTCCTTGTGAGGGTCTCGAAGAGATCAGCATTGAATTCTTGGTTTTGGATTCAGATAGGGGATCCCGGAATGAAATTATTGGCCGGCTAACCTTGGGGGCTTCGGCAGAAGGAACAGCTGGAGAACACTGGAAGGAGATCTGCGAATATCCTAGGAGACAAATTGCCAAATGGCACATGTTATGTGATGGCTAACTGCAGAGCAAGAGGTTGGAACTCTTCAAAAAAGCAAGCAAACAAAAATCCGTAGGCAAGGATCAGTTTTCTTTCTTTGCAATGTATAATCACAGGCTTGTGCCATTAAAAAGGACTTTTTGTTGTTGTTGATATTGAGACTGAATTGAATTGTCAAAACAAAAGGTAACTAACTTCTTTTCCATTTGATCGAGCTCTTTTTTGTTGCTCTTAACAACTGTAAAGAACATGACATAATTTCATCGATGGTTCATATTCTACTGGAGTTTACAGCTAAAGAGACACAAAGTGCTGTAAACTCAATTAAGAAATCTGTTTTCTAAAGTACTATAGTACCAGAGTAACTAGATGCTGTCACTGAGATACTGGCAACCTCATTAGTATATTTTACCAGGTGTAGAATCACCTGGGTTTTGTAGAAGTGAAAAAACCACAAATAATTAGATGAGCAAATGGCAGAAACATTCATTTCAGTTTCACAATGGATAGCAAACCCTTTCTTCTTCTTGGTTTTATGAAAATAGACACTTTTTCAGATGATTAGGGATTTATACTTTGAACAACCCAAAGACTCATTTTTTTAGAATTGATATTACGTATTTCAGAAGATCAGTTTGTTATTTAACTCATGGCATATTTTATTGGAGGGGGGGGGGAGAGATTGAATCCATTAACTGGCACAGAACCATTCAGAATCTAGAGAAACATCCCCACCCCCAGTGATTAACTTTCTTTAATAAAGGGCTCGGATAATACTGTATGGTTAGAATTTGTGCTTTAAGCTGTGGCATGGTTATTTACTTGTTTGTTTATTCATTGGCCAAAATAAATATAGATTGGACATTTCTTAGCAAGGTGGACATAATGGTAGAGTATTATCCAAAAATGGGAAACATCCTTATGTATATACTCATGTATCAGTCTAAAACCTTTTGTTAAAAATCAAACCCCAAAACCTGGGTCAACTTATCAACAAATCAAAGTAAATATTTTACTTGAACCTTTAGCAGAAGGAAGCCACCCCTTTGTCAGAGTAGAGTAGCAAAATTGAAAACTTAGTCCATTCCAGGAGACCCTAAGAGGAACATTAAACTCCCTCTATTATGTTTGCCATGGTGCCACTTCTTTTGGGCAGGAAAATGGCAGCATTAGGGAGGGCTGGATGGTCTCTTGAAATGATTCAGGTGTTTTCCCCTTTCCATGGAATGACTCTCAAATTATCCATGTTTCTTATCAAAATCTATCATTTTTGACCCAGAACCTTCCCTCAACTTATACATGAAGAATATGCTTATACATGAGTATATAACAGAATATGCTTTGAAACCACTGTAGATTGAACCGAAATGTCTTTATTAAACAATTCTATTGATTTCTATCATGCTAAAAACAAAAAAATATAATTGAAACATGTTTTTAAAAACAACTCACAATTTAGATGGCATTAGAATATGCGGAGAAAGCACAGATCCTGCAAAAACTCATTATTAGAAATGGTTCATGTTCAAATGTACAAGTTTTAGCAGAATCAGGCTTCCAGCTAACTGCATACCTCATGCTAACTCAGAAGTAGATGAGCTGTTTTATTGTAGCAATTCACTAATATCTTTTGTGCCATTGGGTCACTGTATTGAATGCTGAAGGAATAATGGGAGGAGCATAGCACTGTGGTGTGCAGCATGCATGTATCATATGATCAGATTTTTATTTATTTATCTTTGCCAGGTACGGGGAACAAAGTTTGACCTAAGGATAGGACTATAGGCTGTGTGACCTTCAAGGCAAACCTATATATGTGTACCGCTGCCTGCCTGAGAAGTTTCTTAGCTTTTCCTTCCTGGTCAGGTGGTTAAAAACACAAAAAGTTTACTGATGCACCCCAAGTAGGTTGCCTTATGTGTTGAATGGATTACATCCAGTTTGGTGGGTTGCAAAACTATGTAGGTCAATACAGAGTAAACGAGTGCACAAATATAATAACCCTAAACCTGTGGAACGTATTCATATACGTTGTTTACACTAGAAAAAATGTTAAGCTGTCAGATTAGCACAATTGCATTAGAAGGGTTTCCAATCCTATGCTTTGTTGGTGGATATTTGAGATAGTGGAGAAAGTCTTTATTTCGGCATAAAGCAGGAAATCTGCCAGAACTACAGTTGCCTCTGCACAATTACTATTAGAAAATCCTATGGCGATTCCACGGCATGTGGACACATATGTCCAGTCTAATGAATTTCCTAAGTTGGTCTTAAAAGCCAAGGTCATCCAGGGATCCCTCTCAGAAACATCTCAGAGATAACCAAGTCTTGACATAATGTTAGTTGAAATTATGTCTCCATGGAAATCATTCTCAGTAGACTTCAGTGGAGGCAAAGATCACATGGAAACTTTTAGAACCAGGCATTTGTGTTATCAAAGGATCACAGGATTGTCCTTTTGATGTGAATATGTACAATGCTTTGTTTGAAGGGTAGGGTTTTGGATGATGTTTAAAAGGAGAAAAAGCTTCAGGGCTCACATTCCTGTAGTGCATCTGAAGCACTGTATTTATCTAGTTGTCCTAGTGATCTGTCTAAAATGTGAATATCTTGACCCACTGCCCATTAATTTGGAATTTGAAGTATTGGGAGTTTAGAGCCAGTCTAAGACCTGACTTGAAGTCATGATCCACAAATAGCTTCTGAGATGAGAGCTCAGTGACATAAGCATCCTCTTGCTCATGAGCTCTCTATGTTGATGAAATGCTTTTCAACAAGAGAAAAGGATAAGATGTAAAAAACAAATCTGAAGGGTTCAGAATACTATTACCATGGAATGTAACGGGACCAAATGGTCTGAAATAGAAAGATTTTGATAAAACTGTTTTATGGATCAGAACCAATGTACTCCAAGGCATAAGTAAATTTTTAAAAGACCCATCAAGCATTGACAATGAAATCAGGGTTCTACCAACTAATGCTGGAGGTTTATGTAGGATTTTAACTGGAACCATAGTTTGACCAGAACAGAATGAGCAAGGACTGGGATGTGAAATATGCAACAAATATTACTGAAAGAATTCCATTTGGAGTCTTTCAGGTTTTTGTGTTGGTAATTTATCCAGGTTTTTGAATGATGTGTTTGATATAACTGTGTTTATATAAGCTCTAAGGCATTTTCACAACATGCTTTTTATTAAAATGCTCTGTGTAAAAATAATAATAGTGATGCAACTTGTGTAAAAATGAGTCAAATCTATTTTGTTTTGTTTAGACCATTTGTAGGCTAACATCTGTCCAGGCTTGAAATCCTCAGACAGCTTACTCCAGGGTAAACCCATTGAAATGATGAGGAATTGGTCCTAAAACTACAATGAAGCCCATTGATGTCAGCAGATATGCTCTAGTGGGCTTTGATATGGGTCCCATCTCAAAGAAAAGATATCTATCAAGCCATGGGCATTCTGCTGAACTGAAGAGTTGAGGTGACCCAGTAGAGTCAAGAGCAGAAGTAACTTCAAGAATAGAAGTAACAAAAATTTTAGATGGAAAGAGCTTCCAACCTAACCATAAACAAAAAAATGAGACACAAAAATAAAATACCTTCAGTTTAATAGAAAGTTGTGAGTATGGTCTGTATGGAAGATCTTTATGAACTCACTCTTAATTAAACTAATTTAAACAACAAGAATTGTGAGATTTTCAGTAAATTGTTGTTGAACTTGTTTGTCTTCAGTCTTATGTAGGACATATCAGGGGTCTCATAAGAAGTGAGTAGAACAAATTGAACATCAATAGAATTATGAAATCATGTAGAGGTGGAAAGAACAACAAATGCCATTGATGCCAATCATAGAGTCATACAGTTGGAAGAGACCTCATGGGCCATCCAGTTTAACCCTCTGCTGAGAAGCAGGAAAATCTCTTTCAGAGCACCCCTGAGAGATGGCCATCCAGCCTCTGCTTAAAATACTCCAAAGAAGGATTCTCCACCACACTCCATCCGTTGACAGTGCAGGAGTATTCAGTGAAAGAACCCAGATTCTCCTTTTAAAAAACACCAATGAAGGAAAGACCTTCACCTTCCAAGATGGTCTTTTCTAGTGTCAGAAGTTCTCCTTGATATTTATTGGAAAACACCTTTGTTGTAAACAGAATCCATTTTTCAGGTTCCCTCCACTAGAACAGCAGTAACAAGCTCTCTCCATCTTCTATGTGACAGCCTTTCAGATATTTAAAGATGGCTGTCTTAAGCACCTCTTGATCTTCTCTTTTGTAGTTTAAGCATACCCAACTCTCTCAACCGTTCTTCATGGGGCTTGGTTTCCAGAGTTCTAAAATCTTCTGTAACATACAGAAATTTATGTATGAAGGGCTGCCTGAAAGGAGAAAACCTGTAAATTTCTAGTCAAACCCCTGTCTACCACATCATCTCTAGTCATATGGTTTGATATTGGTCTTCAGCCACCATTCCATAGCAGGTCCCAAATTCTCACTTCAGTAATATGCCTTGATTTGTTTGTCTGCAAATAAAATCTGGGGTGGTGACAATCTGTTATTCCGCAACCAGTAGGCAATATCTAAAAGCCTGCCTTAAGTAGTGTGAGAGATACCTTTCCTGCTGGTGGAATGACAGCTATCGGGGTGGGAGAAAACAATTCTTTTTTACACTGGGCAAATTGTAAATAGGGTCCTCTTTTTTTAAATCTTAAGAAATGTTTGTCTTGCAAAATCCAGCTGTTAACCTGTCCAGGACTCAGCTGGGATTGAAATATATGTGATCATGCCTTTAAGAGATGATGAAAAAATATTTGCTGTTTTATAAAGTATTTGGTTCTTAATGTGAATATCTTGAAATCTGTTAAGGCTAATGTCCTGTATCAAAACTTGTAAAATAATGTTTGTCTAAGTAGATAAGAACAACAACAAAAGATTAACTCAAAATGGGATCTTATTCATGTTTGGAGACTTGTTGTAACTCAATAACCAATTTGTTAATGATGTTGTACATTCAATAGAAGTTCTTTGGGAGGAAGCATGGTGTTGGAGGATTTGTATGTCTTTTGTGCCAGCTTGTATGTTGTGCCATGTATGTAAGACAAGAATAAACTGCTACTTTCATTCATTCCATCCCAACATAACTTTTCTTTTTAAAAAACGTTTCCAAAGCATATAAATTAGTTTTTTCTTTGATTTTCCCAGTGTGAATCCAGATCCATTGAGAAATGTTTTGAGAGACCCTGTCTCACTCTTGTACATTGCACTACTATCATACATTGTATAACATTTTCAAGTATTTCAGGCATTATCACATGATGATCACTTAAACATGACCATAAGGTAAGTAAGAATTACCATGCAGGATTGGGCTGGGCTGTTTGGGAGCAGAGACTGAGAAATTCAGAGGCTGAATGGTCTGAATACGATTGCTAGTCTTGATTAGAGTACATCTACTCAAATCAATGGGGCCATCCTACCTGTTCACACTCTTTAGCTTGAATCCTATTAGTTTCAACTGGAAGAGAATTGTTTGCTGAATTCAGGCCAAAGAAAGTCTGGTTTAAGATTATCCACAGGGAAAATAGTCCCAGTAGTGTCACTAGGGGGGCATAGAGGGTATGGGTTGTGCCAGGTGACACCATCAGAGGGGGAAACTCCATTCATAAGGGTTGTGAGAGAGGTGGGCAAATCAGGTGAGAAGCTGAAGAGCCTCCTTATCTCAAGAATCACTGAAGGCTGGCAGGGCAGAGCTTTGTCCTTCCCTCTTGCATGCATTTCTTTACAACTGACTTTTGCCCCCTCCCTTTTACATGCTCAAATCAGTTCCTCCCAAATTCCATCCCATATATGGTTAGTGTAGATCCATATAATGCTGTTTAACTGCATTGAACAGCATTATATGGGTCTACACTGA